TTTAGGGTTTTGGTTTGGGGTTTGGGGTCTGGGGGTTTAGGGTTTGGGGTTTTAGGGATTCCTCTTAAGGTTCCGCAAGGGGTTCCTTTCGGCCCCTATTTAGGGTGGTTTAAGGTTTCGGGTTTAGGATTTAGACGAGAGTTTAAGGTATAGGTCCGTATAGGTAGTATAGCGTTTAGGGTTATGACTTGCAGTAGTGGTGGAGTCACGCATCCATTGAATAAGCATTCTCAAAAGCCATAGGATAGATTTGGGAACTCCGGAATTCAGAAAGAATGAAAAAATGAATTTCGGTGCGAAATCCTAGGTTTCGATGTAAGAACAGAGAACAGCACCGAACATGGCTCATTCTCGACGTGTTTCCCCATGATTCTCTACTGTGTTCCTATGTTTCTCCTTGTTTCCTCAAACAGGAGACAACACTTGGAATTAAATTAGTATGTCGCTGGATATTCCTAATGCAAGAATCGAAAAAAGCACCAAAAACAAACTGTGTTCGACACAATCCTATGTTTATCCTACTGTTTTTCCTCTATATCACCGATTTCCCCGTCATACTTTCAAAACATGAGGGAAAATGCAGAAAAATGGTGATTAACAGGGATTTGGTTGGGAAATCTGGGCTTCGATGCAAAGATCGAAAAAAAGCACCGAAAAAGTTCATGTTCGATCCAATCCTATGTTTTCCTGTTGCCTTCCTAAAGTTACCCCATTCTGCCCTAAAACTGAAAAATGTGAGAAACTCACTATATGATTCTTGTCTTATGTTTTCCCTAAACTCTGATTTTCCTGATTCCTACAGCATTCCTATTTCGCTCCCTGAAATAAATATTTCAACCACCTCTTCTCAGGCCTACCGACACATCATAAGTCTAGGGTACAGGGCTGACGGTTTAGGTTTCAGGTTCTAGGGTTTAGTATTTGGGATTCAAGGCTTACGGTTCAGGGTTCACGGTTTGCGGTTCAGGGTTTAGGCTGTTGGGTTTGGGGTTGACGGTTTATGGTTCAGAGTTTAGGCTTCGGGATTTAGGGCTTAGGGTTCAGGGTTTTGGGTTTCTGTTGGGCTCTGCAGAGTTCTATGTGGTTTCACGGTGCGTAGAGTCGGGGGTTGGATAGGCTTTGAGGCAAGTCTATACCTCAAGCTATCAGAACCTCCTGCTTCTGGGATCCTTGTAGAGACCCCCGAAAAAAGGCAGACTTTGGTAGGTTGAGGTGATGCAGGGGCCTTTAGCAATTGGAACAGGGTTTTACGGTAAATTATGCTCTAATTGCAAAAAAGAGCCCCTAAAATAGTCTTGGTAGTGATTAAGGCCCCTATATGACCAAAAGAACCTCCTGCTTTTGGGATCCTTATAGCTAAAACCTAAACCCTAAACCGGACCCTAGAAAGAAAATTTAAAAAAGGGTTTTTAGGGTATATTATACTATAGCTATAACAACAAACCCCCAAAAACAAAGTCTTAGTAGTGGCTAAGGCCCCTATATGACCTCCAGAACCTCCTGCTTTTGGGAACCTTATAGCTAAACCCTAAGCCCTGAACCGGACCCTATAAAAGAAGTAGGCTTTGGTACGTTGAGGTAGGTCTTGAATAAGACTGTTATAAGAAACCCCCCCAAATCCTATTCTAATTATTCAGGCCCCTATATTAAGCCCCACACCCTAAACCCTAAACACCCTAAACCCACTCATCTGTTGGGCCTCTCGGTTCGGTAGCTGAAGCTTCTGCGGCTCAGCTCTTCGAGAGTTCCGGGACGCAGAATAGAAGCCCAAAGAGACTTCCCCCGGAGCCCTAAGTCCTAAACCCTAAGCCCTAAACCCTCTACCCCAAATCAAAAAAAAAAAGACCTGAAATCCCCAGTCCTAGACCCCAAACCCTAAGCCCCAAAATCCACAAAACCCAGCAACCTTCGGTCCTAGACCTTGAACCCTACACCCTGAACCCTAAACCTGGTGGTTTAGGGTTTAGGGTTTAGGGTTTAGGGTTTAGGGGAACCCTGAACCCTAAACCTCTGGAAACGCCGAGTCCCGGACGTCCTTCAACGATCTAATCCCTACAAACCTGAAACATGACCAGCACCCAAAATCCGAAACCCGAAAATCCTAGACCCTTAAGACTTCGGGTTTAGGGTTTAGGGTTTGGAGTTTCGGGCTTAGGGCTTGAAGAAAGCAGATTATGTACCAAAAAACCTTTACCATGGGAACTTCTTAATATTGAAGGTGTTGGGCCTTTAGAGAATTTCGATGGCTTTCGGCTTTCAAGCTTTCAGGGGAATAGCAGCAGCCGAAGGCGACTCGCACACGAATTAAACTGCGTGAGGCAGACCCGCCACATCTCAAAAATGTCAAGAGACATTGGATGGACCCTACCCATAGGCCCCTTAGTAGTTCCTTTTTGGGATTACCTTATAGGATTCTAAATATAAACCATAAAAAGGAACTACTTAGGGGCCTATGGGTAAACCCTACCAAGCCCACAAGGTAAATGGTAAACGTGGGCTGCAACGCGTCAGGGATGTAGGGTGCACTGCGCCGGCACAAAGCGTGCACTTGAGGGCCTTCTTATTTTGGCTTCCACCCTCAACCCTAAATGCTCACCCCCAGAACCCTAAACCCTAGACCCTACACTCCCTTTGTGCTTAGGACGAAAGCATCAATATGTCCCGTTTCGGACAGGTGGCCCTGCAAAGCTAATAAGTGAACCCCGATCCCACCAAACTTCAAGCCCGAAAAATGGATAGTACGGCTGATGATATAAATCCTGCATTACCCAGAATCAAGGATGTCCCCATACCTCCCATAGTTTAGGGTCCTTAAGGTAATGCAAGATGTAGATCATCAACTGTAGGTCAGGGTTTTAAGTTTCAGGATTCGGGGTTTAGGTTTTAGGGCTTAGGGAAGCCCCAGGCCCCGGACTGCATCAAGGAACTCGGTAAGCAGGTTTTGGGTTTAGGAATTAGGGTTTTGGGTTGAAGGTTCTGGTTTGGGGTTTGGGGTTTAGGGTTTAGGGTTTAGGGCACACTTTCAAGCTGATCCTGCAAGCGCACCAAAACCAAAAACCGAACCCGAAACCGTTTAAGTGCTTAGTGTTTGGGGTTTAGGGTTTAGGTGTCTCGTGTTTGGGGTTTAGGGCTTTGGGTTTAGGTATCTAGTGCTTCAGGTTTAGGGCTTAGGGTTGAGGTTTCTAGTCTTTAGGGTTTGGGCTTTGGGCTTTAGGGTTTAAAAATGTTTTACAACTCCTTTTCTCCCGGGCATTTGGGGTTAAGCCTTTGGCGTTTAGGGCTCAAGCTTAGGAGTTAGGATTAGGGGGAGCCTTGGGGATATAGACCCTCTCAACAAGGCCCCTTTGAAGAGACCCACAAGTAGGGTTAAGAAGGGTCCCCTTTAAGGGGAAACCCTAAGTTAAACCCTAAACCCCAAACCCTATAAACCCTATAAACCCTATAAACCCTATAAGCCCTATAAGCCCTATAAGCCCTAGACCCCTAAACCCTAAACCCCTGTCCCCTTTCCTAATACTACCTAGGAAGGCTTTGTTGTAGGCCTGGGCTCTTGGATCTTCTGATGATACCTTACTACCAGGCTCTAGGGTTCAGGGTTTAAGCGGTAGTGCTCAGGGTTTAGGGTTTAGGGTTCAGGGTTGAGTGTTTAGGGTTTAGAGTTTAGGGTTCAGGGTTTAGTGTTTAGGGTTTAGTGTGTAGGGTTTAGGTTTAGGGTTTAGGGGCTTAGGGTTTAGGGTTAGGGGTTGAGGGGCTTAGGGTTTAGGGGCTTAGGTGCTTGGGGTTTAGTGCTTGGGGTGTAGGGTTTAGGGGTTTAGGGTTCAGGGTTAGGGGTTCAGGGTTCAGGGTTTAGTGTTTAGGGTTTAGGGGTTAGGGGTTTAGGGGCTTAGGGTTTATAGGGTTTGGGGTGGTTTAGGGGCTTTGGGGCTTAGGGTGGCTTAGGGTTTAGGGGCTTTGGGTTGAGGGGCTAAGGGGCTCAGCTTAGGGTTTTGGGTCACCCCACACCCCCGTTTAAAAATCGACGGAAAGCCAGCGCGACCCTCGTGGGCCTTGGGCTGAAAAAGCGATAAAAAGGCCACACGCTTTCGGCGCTGATGCAGCAAAGGTCTTAAAATTCATCCCGGGCGCTCCATAACTACTTAGCTGTTGCGTTCATAAGCACAAAAAAAGTGTATACTTTCAGTTCTGTTAAGGGATCATACTATCCCAAAAAGCTTAAAGCATAGTAATTCAGCTCCTAAGACTAGAATAGTCAGTCTTATGGGGGTATATTTGTGAACAGGTACCTTTCATAATTATAATAGTAATAGTAATAATAATAAAATAATAATAATAATAGTAATAATCATAGTATATAATAATACCGTTCATGACCAAGGAGCACCTCGGAATGCGATAGCGAACTTTTGTCTCTCGGTTTAGGGCTTAGGGCTTAGGGTTTACCTGGACCCTGAAAAACCTACCTTTTTAAGGACTTATATACAGAAATCATAATAATGAACCCTAAAAAGGCAGGTTCTTTGGGGTCCAGGTAGGGCTTACTGCCAGAGGTTGGCCAAAAGCGTGAAGGACCCAGCAGCGAAGTAGTAGCAGATCTTCTGGACACTGAAGGCCGTCACCCGCACCCCTCTGGTGTAGAATCCTGCCTGGCTGTCCAGGATGTACCTCAGACTGGTATGACAAGCTTGGGTTTAGGGTTTACGGGGCTTAGGTACATATTATAGAGGCATGAGTTAAACAGTACATATTCTACCCTAAACCCTAAACCCTAAACCCTATGGTAAATAATATCTAGCAGAATGTAGCACAATTGTCTGTCTCAGGCTCCTTCCGACTCAGGCTTTAGGGATTTAAAAAGTGCTTCAACTTTTCAAGTCGCAATGCTTTTTCCGTAAACCCAAATCCAGGCAATCCAAAAAAATGCAAGACAACATAATCCTAAACCCTAAACTTTTAAACCCCTAAACCCCAAACCCTAAATCGGAAAGGTATTGCTGTCAAGAGGTCCCTGTAGGAGTGCAAGTCTGTTGAGACAAACCGTGCAAAATGGGGTTTAGAGTTTAGAGTTTAGGCTTTAGGGTTTTTGGGGTTTTGGGGTTCAGGGGTTTGGGGTTTAGGGTTTGGTGGTTAGGGTTTGGGGTTCGGAGTTTGGGGTTTGGGGTTTAGGGTTTGGGGTTTGGGGCTTACGACTAAGGGCTTTTAGGGTCTAGGAGTCTAGGCCCTAGGCTTAACCCGCAAACCCCCAAACAAGGCTCTATGCAAGGTTGAGGCCCAAATCCTAAACCCTGTGAGGCCCTTATGCCCAAATCCAAGTCCGAACACCCAAGTCTGAAAACCTACACCCATCATTCTCTACCTTCGCGTGCTTCTTGCTTCTTTTCTTAGACATAAACCTTAAACCGTTAAACCCTAAACCCTAAACCCTGAACCCCAAACCCTAAACCCTGAACCCTATCGATCGCGAACTTTACAGAAAGACTAGAGACTCTGGTAGCTGAACCCTGAACCCTAAAGCCTAAACCCTGAACCCTAAACCCTAAACCCTGAACCCTAAACCTTAAACCCTAATTCTGGAACTTCGGCTTCCTTGTTTCCCCTAAAAAAAGGGGGGCTTAAGAATTCGAACAGGGTTTTGGGGACCCATTCTACTATAATGGTTTAGGGTTTAGGGTTAAGGAACACCCCAAAGTAGTATTGGCAATCATTTAGGCTTTCTACATTAAGCCCTAAGCCCTAAACCCTAAGCCCTAAGCCCTAAACCGGCTCTCCCCAGCCAGGTCACTGGACAACGTACCGCCGCGCGTCGTCCAGCACCTCCGTGTCGTCGAAGGCCCATGAGTTCACCAAGGGCGCTAGTCGATCCACCTCTGGGTTTAGGGTGTGGGGTTTCCGGGTTTAGGGTTTAGGGGTTTAGGGTTTAGGGCTTAGGGTTTGGGGTTTCGGGGCTTAGGGTTTAGGGCTTAGGGTTTGGGGTTTAGGGTTTAGGGTTTAGGGTTTAGGGTTTCGACCCTAAGGGTCAAAACAGCCTGAGTCCTTAGAGGCCTGTACTCCCACAGGACATCTGAATAACCCTAAACCCAAAGCCCTAAACCCAAAGCCCTGAACCCCTAATTCCGAAAACCTCCGGCTCAGTTCGGCGGCTCTGTGACCTACGGCATAAGCCCCTGAGACTCCCGATCCTAAGCCACAGGGCAGCCAACATCGAGGGTTTAGGGTTTAGGGTTCAGGACTTCGGGCGTTGTCGGGCTTATGTTTCAGGGTTCAGGGTTTAGGGTTTAGGGGTTTCAGGATTTAGTGTTTAGGGTTCGGGGTTCAGGATTTAGGACTTAGGTTTCAGGGTTCCGGGTCGAGGGTTTAGGGCTCAGGGCTTAGAGTTTGGGGTTTAGGGCTTCTTGTTTAGGGTTTGGGGCTCAGGGCTTAGGGTTTAGGGTTTGGGGCTTCTTGTTTAGGGTTTCGGGCTTACGGCATCGGTTGGGGTCTAGCTCGGGTGTCCGGGCCTTGCCGGTGACGGCAGCCGCACTGGAGAGCGTGTAAAGGAAGAGGAGCACCGGTGGGTAGAGCCACCCGGTCCAGAGGAGGATGTCCTTCGAGGGTTTAGGGTTTGGGGGATGGGTTTTGGGCCTTTCGGGTTTGGAGGTTTAGGGCCTAGGGCTTTGGAGATTTAGGGTTTAGGGGTTTAGGGCTTAGGGGTTTAGGGCTTAGGGGTTTAGGGCTTAGGGGTTTAGGATTTTAAATCCTCCATATGAGCTTCAGCGCTATGTGGCTGAAGGGCCTCGAGTCCGTCCAGGAGTTGATACAGTCTGGGGTTTACGGTGTGGGGCGTGTTGGGAGGGTAACAATTCCCGTCTCTACATGGCGGTCTCGCAGCTTAAGGGTGCAGGTCTTTTGGGCTGTTCTGTTTTGTTGAAAGCGCGGTGTGCTGCAGGAGACAAGACTGCAACTAATGCACCGGGGTTGCATGTCTTGGCCACCGCGCACCTGTTCTGGTGCATGTGACCACTTCATTGCCAGTGGCTGTCAGATGCTGCTGCATGGTTGCACAACTTCTCAAGCACTGCATTGCAAGTGCACAAAGACTCACTTCGGCAGCATTTTCATGCCTTGCAAATCCCCATGCGTTGGCTGCACTAGCTGGAACTAAGTCGGAACCAAAACTGACAGCACCCGATACTGGCACGGACACTTGCTTTAAAATCATGCCCGGCAGGATGCAGCAAACATCACGTGAGCTCGTCGACCGAGCACATAGGCACGTGTACCATCTCCCAGCAACTACGGCTCGGCTCCCAGGAACTACAGCTCTGTGCTGTGCCTGCCTGGCCGGCAGAGCTCTCAAGGTCTTCGTCTTCAAGGCCCCCCGGCCGCGAGAGCTTCGTGCAAAGTCAACCTTTCAAGGACCGCGCGACGATGCCTGACTTCCAGCTCTGTGCCTGTCACTTTGTGCATCACCTGGACTACTCTCTGTGTCTGGCGCGCCCTGATTACGTCATATACTTCCGCCCGCTGCAGCCAATGCCTCTGACGAAGGCTCGCGAAAACAAAGCAGAAGCCTGCCAAGCCGATAGCTACCAACAGACAGCAGCCAAGCACGTTCAAGTGCTCCTTATGGTGATTCTCCTGCTGCTCACGTTGCAGTGCCAGCTGCTTCTTGTCATGCTGTGCCTTGCGCAGGAACTGGTAGCCTCTCACGCCAGCATAAGCAATGCCCACCGCTGTCAACCTCCGAACAATTACTTCTCCAGACTGGGCAAGCTTTACTTGGGCCTCTGCCTGACTCTCCAAGGCACGTGCCTCACCAACCCGCGCATAGGCCTCCCCAGCCCACTTTCCACAAAAGGAGAGAACGGCAACAGCGATGAGCGCCTCGATGAACACAACGTGGGACATGGGTCACAAGGTGATTGTGTGACCTACACCTCTACCCTAATATGACTCGAGTCGAGCCGATTTGGGCCTATGCTCATGCAGTCAAGCACGGACCAAAAAGTCTCAGCGAAGGGGCGCATCCTCTCACGTGCAAAATCGAAAGCTTGAAGGTACGACAGAGAAAGAAAACCTTGTCTTTGTTGAAACCAGTAAGAGCCAGCGGCACGGCAAGCGCTCTGAGCTGCAGCTATCAAAGTCTTTATGCTATCTTGGGGCTTAGGATGTTTGCGACTTAAGGGTTGGAGGCGTCAAAACCCTAAACCCTAAACCCTAAACTCCTGAACCTAAACCCTAAACTTGCGATCCCCGAATTTGCGTTCTCACGACGGCTTAGGGTTTAGGTAGGGTCTGAGATTCGGATACCGGGACCTCTTTTCTTTTCGATCTGGAGAACGCTGCGCGTTGAGCCCTAAACACCAAAGAACTAAACCCAAAATAACAAATGAACCCTAAACCTTGAGCCCTGCAGGCCCTGCACCTTAAGCCCTAAAGCCATGTCAAGCCCAAACCTCAACCTTAACCCCAAAGCCGACAACCTCCGACCACCTGAGCTGTACTAGAGACCCTTCACCCTAAAGCCTCTAACTTACAATCCCAAAATGAACCAAAACCCGACAAAAAGCACATGTTCAGCAAAGAGAAGCCGGAGGCAGAAAGGTTGACTCCCTTCGGCAGCATTTTCATGCCCTGCAAATCCCCATGCGTTGGCTGTAGCTGGAACTAAGTCAGAACCAAAACTCACAGCACCCGATACTGGCACAGACACTTGCTTCAAATCATGCCCGGCAGGATGCAGCAAACATACCTCATATGAGCTCACATGAGCTCGTCGAACGCGCACTTAAGCACGTACCATCTCCCAGGAACCAAGATCTTCGTCTTCAAGGTTGGGTTGCACAGCAGGAGGCGCAGGCTGGGAGAGCTCTTCAACTTCGTGCAAAATCAACGCGCGACGATGCCTGACCACCGGCTCCGTGCCTGCCGCGGTCTGCATCACCGGGACTACTCTCTGTGTCTGGCGCTCCCTCATTCTGTCGTATACTTCCGCCCGCTGCAGCCAATGCCTCTGACGAAGGCTCGCGAAAACAAAGCAGAAGCCCGCCAAGCCGAAAGCTACCAACAGACAGCAGCCAAGCACGTTCAAGTGCTGCTCACGTTGCAGTGCCAGCTCCTGCTTGTCGTGTTCGTGCTGATGCTCCTGCACCTCACGTTGCAGTGCCAGCTGCTTCTTGTCATGCTGTGCCTTGAGCAGGAACTGGTAGCCTCTCACGCCCGCATAAGCTATGCCCACTACTTCTCCAGCCTGGGCAATCTTTACTCGGGCCTGTGCCTGTGCCCGACTAGCCACTGCACATGCCTCACTAGCCCGTGCAGTCGCAATGGCCTCGGTAGCCCGCGCATTGGCCTCCGTAGCCCGATTAGATGCGACAGCCTCTTCGCAGTTGTGAGCAATCCAGCCTCCGAAAAATGAGACACCGGAACATACGAGGAGCGCCTGCAAGACTACGAACATGGGTGTCAAGGTGATTGCGTGACCTACACCTTTATCCTAATATGGCTCAGGTCGAGCCGATCTGGGCCAATGCTCATGCAGTCAAGCGCGGACCAAAAAGTCGCAGCAAAGGGGTGCGAACTTGCGAACACCCGAAGCCGACAACCTCCGACCATCACAAACCCCACTACCAGAGAGACCCTGCACCCTTACGCCTCTTGAACCAACACGGAAAAAGAACCCCAACCCTCGAAAAGGCAGATGTCCAGAAAAGCGAAGCCGGAGGCAGAAAGGTTCAGGGAGACCACCTGCCCGGAGACTCCCACCGTGGTCTTTGAAAGGACATGATGGGGCTGAATATAGGGGCCTTCATAATTAGAATAGGGTTTGGGAGCCAAAGTTACTATACTTGTAATAAGGAACCCCCACAATAATATTGGTAACTATTTAGGCCCCTCTACTAAGTTGTCGAAAGGTCTTTGTAGTGATCTCATATCGCTATACAGGTGTGTGTAATTGGGACGTTCGGTTGTTTCAGGGCTTTCTACGGGAGCTTCGGGTATGTGTCAAGACCTTCGGGGTGTTGAGGGATTTCATACTAAGCGCTGTAGTTTTTCTGATTTCTATTTCAGTGGCTTCGAGGTTCAGATCTGAGGATCTCAGGGTTACGGTTGCGGAGGCTCCATATCCCGTATGACGCATAAAGAATATTCGCAGAAGGTCTCATAACTTGTAATGTCCTATCAGCGGTTCAGATTCCCATATCGCTGAGGTAGGGGATAACAATTGAAATACTGGGCCGCTGGAAATTTTGGGGGCACCCAGGGTTCTCTGCTTGAGTGCTTCGCGATTGTTACTTCAAGGACTTAGACTGAGACTTGATTTCATGGCGTATCACACTAAAGTTTAGGCTTGGTGTTCTGTCACCGCTATGAGGGTCAAAAGGTTGCCAAAGTGAAGCTGTGGTCCCATTGGGAAACCTACTGCAAGAACTACGAACACAGCAACAACTCCTGCTGTATGCAGCGTCTACCTTGCGATGAACCCTTAACCCCTAAACCCTAAGCCACCCCGAACCCGAAACCCTGAAACCAGCCTGATAGGCGAAGAGGATCGAGGCCGCGATGCAGGAGGTAGCCAAGACCACGAGGAAGTCGCTCAGCTTCCCCGACGTCTGTCGCAGGGTCGCCTGCGACGGCTCTGGGGGGGGTTGAGGATGGTTTACGGTTTATGGCTTAGGGGCGTTGAGTTCGCTGCTTAGGTGGTTTGGCCTTGGGATTAGAGCTTAAGGCTCAAAGATTCAAGGCTTGAGGTATTTAACTGGGGGTTGGGTCTAGGGCCAGACATGGTTTAGAGAAAACCCCCCAGCTCCGGTCCAAAAGCCTGAAACCGGTCGCTAAGGGCGCAGAGTTTTGGGTTCTGTGTGTGTCACAGGCTCTTGCGGCGTAGGGTGGATACAAGCCTTAAATCGTCCGAACCGGGCGTGGGACTCGGGGCATGAAGCTTCCGGTCGAAGTAATTCAGGTTCCTGGGACGAAATATGCCCAGTACAATAGAAGGGCAGGTCTCCAAAGTAGGGTCCGTTTTAGGGTCGTTTTTATAAGGGTGCCGTACTATTGTTGGGGAGCTAAAAAGGGGACCCTAATTTAGAGAACTACCCATAAGGAGCTTCAGAAAAACCCGGGATCCTTGAGAGAATCCAAACAATACGGTTGATGACATAAATCCTGCATGACCCATAATAAGGAATATACCATGATTCCCATAGTTTAGGGTCCTTAAGGTAGTGCAGGATTTATATCATCAACCGTAGGATTCTTATTCAAACCCCAATTTGGGAGTTCTACTTCTACGAATTTTTGCAAAAGGACTGCAGAAGCGTAGGTTCCAGACGTTCAGGATTTGGCCTGGCACAAGGACGTAATGACAACGGGGATGGGCTCTAGGACTAGGAGTGGGGCTCGGATTTCGGAATTGATACCGATCAGATTCTGGTGGAGTGCGCCGGGGTAGAACAATCCCGATCATCATCTGTTCCCCTAAACCTCAAGCCTTCGATCAAACCCCCTAAAACCATCCTGCACCCAAAAATCTCTCCAAATTCGCACATGGCAATTACCTGCCTTTCTCTACGAACTTCTGGGGTTGCACCTTACTGCTCGAACCACTCGTACTATGTAGACCGAACTTTGAATCTGAACGCAACCCCTTCAAGACTTTCAAAAACCACTACGCAGAGACTCCAATAGCCCTTAATTCAAGAATTTTGCCTTTAATGATAATAGGAACCCTAAGAGGACTCATAAGGTCTATTCCTTAAATTAAGGGATATTGGAGTCTCTGGGTAATCAACCCGAACCACCAAACCCCAAAGCCCTAATCAAACCCTTGAGCCTCCCCTAAAGCCCGAGAGCCCCCGTCAAACCCTGAACCCGAAAAACCAAAAAAAAAAAATGAAGCCGAAATCCCTAAATCCCCGAAGCCCTGAAGCCCATGGAACCCCCAAGCCGTAAACCTCTTAAAGGAATCCCTAGAGGCTCCCTCAGCCTTGAAAGAATCCTTAGAAGCCTTGAACCTCCCTAAACCCTGAACCCCAAACCCTAAAACCCTAAAACCTTAAAACCCTAAAACCCCCAAAACCCCAAACCCTAAAACCTAAACCCCAAGCCCTAAAACCCTAAAATCCCTAAACCTCCTAAACCCCAAACCCCAAACCCTAAACCCTAAACCCCAAACCCTAAACCTGGCCTGCACCACGTTCCAATCCAGGACCGCCTCCTTGGGGCTCCCGTTCTGGAAGCACCTGGCTAGGGTCCCCTCTCGGGTTTGTTTTTAGGCTTAAGGGGTTTAAGGTTTAGGGGTTTAGGGGTTTAGGAGTTTGGGGGTTTAGGGTTTAGGGTTCCCTAAACCCTAAACCCTAAACCCTAAACCCTAAACCGTGAAAGCGCACTGACCCTTTCGCTCCACAGACAAGCAAAGGTCTGAGGCCCAGCTATTGCAGGTCTGCACTGGTCGTGGAGTTTAGGGTTCTAGTGTTTGGGGTTTGGGGCATAAAATTTCGGGTTTCCGGTATAGGGTTTTGGGGCTTAGGGATTTGATTTAAGGGTTTAGGCATTTAGGGGTTTAGGTTTAGGGTTTAGGGTTTGGGCTTTGGGGTTTGGGGTTTGGGGCTGTTTCAGGTTAAGGTTTGAAAGACCTTTACATAGGTGAACTCAGGTTTAGGGGTTTGGAATTTAGGGTATGGCGTTTGAACCTCGGGGTTTAGTTTCGGATTCGGTCGGACATTTGTCAGTTGAGGGACGAATGCAAGGTGCTCCCATCATCTACAGAAAAGTCTTACAAACATCGGCATCGGCCCCGAATTGTAAATTCCGAAGCCTAAACCCTCACCAGCTACATAAAGGATCTTATGGTTCTCGGGGCCTATCCAAAACCCAAAAGAGAGAAAGCCAGCCCCTAAACCCTAAACCCTCAAACCCTAAAGCCTGAACCCTAAACCCCAAAATCCCCGAACCCTGGACCCTAAACCGGAAAACCTTAAACTCTAAACCCCTAAAGCCCTAAAGCCCTAAAGCCTGAACCCTACACCCCTAAACCTCTAAACCCCTAAAGCCCCAAAGCCCTAAACCCTAAACCCCTAAACCCCAAACCCTAAGCCCCAGCAAGTTCAAGGAAACCTTGCGTCACGTGGCCCAGGCTCGAGACCCGAAATCTTCCGAGCCCCTAAACCCGGAAGCGCCCCGGAAACCTTGACAACCCTGTTAAGGGTTTAGGGTTAAGGGCTTAGGGTTTAGGGATCAGGGATTAGGGTTTAAGGTTTAGGGATTACAGGTTAGGTTTAGGGTTTAGGGCTTAGGGATTAGGTTATAGGGTTTACAGGTTAGGGTTTAGGGTTTAGGGTTTAGGGATTAGGGTTTAGGGATTAGGGCTTGAGGTGCCGATTGGCTTGTGAAGGCGACCTTATGACTGCATGGCCGATAGAGCAAGAGCTGCGGGGGAACGTGAATGACACCAGACAAACACTACTGTGAAGAGAGCATGATTGCAACGGCTGTTCTTTTGGTCGTAGCATTTTAGCTGAAAGCAGCAGTCTTCTACTGGCAGTAGCATCAGCACCATGAACAACAACCATTGAGAATGCAGCAACATTGCGAACGATACAAACACCTGGCAAGACCTTACCCAAACCAAGGTTGGTTCAAAGGTGTTTTGTGCCATGTCGAAGCGTGTTTCCGACGGACCCCAGCATGAAAGTACTCGTATGGATCTCTTCGATTGGTCTAACCACTACGAAGGTCAGGCCATGCCTGCCAATAAGAGCCCGACGGAGGTCCAAAGGAGGGCGCACCTTGACAGTGGAACAGGTGGTCACAGCGCCCGCGGCCGGCCAGTTGCCGGTGGGGCTGGGGGTCGCCGGGACCTTCATGGAGTCTTCGAGGTCTACCTGCCCAGGATCAGAGCATTCAAGAAGATCCACGTCCCCTTTCGAGTTCTCACGGTTGTTCTCCTCGAAGTTCGCGGGACTGAGCGCCTTTGGTTGCCATGCTCGGTGCAATACCTTCGGCGGTGGGGTCGGGAACTCCTCGTTGTTGTTTCTCCAGAACATGGCTTTCCGGCCTTGGCGTGCTCCTCAACCCTAACCCCTAAAACCTAAAACACCAAAAACCTAAACCCTAAGCCCCAAAGGCTGAACCCAAAGCCCCAAAGCCTTCGTCTCCTACGATCGGAAGGCCAACCCTAAACCCTAAACCCCGGGGAGCTGATCTTACACCCCTAAGGTTTTAGGCTTTTTTAGGGAGGGTTTAGGGTTTAGGGTTTAGGGATTAGGGTTTGAGGTTTAGGGGTTAGGGTTAAGGGTTTAGGGTTTAGGGTTTAGGGTTTAGGGAGGGTTTAGGGTTTAGGATTTGGAGCCAAGCCGCTTCCAGAAAGTAGAACCCCTAATTCGGTAACCTAAAGCTACTAAAGGGCTCTTTAGGGGAGCCACCGAAAGGGATCTACTTCTTCGGATCCTCCCAGGGAGCTTGGGTTATGAAGCCTTTACTTGAGCCCCAAACCCTAAACCCTAAACCCACATACCAGGATCTTTAGTCAACCCTAAACCCTAAACCCTAAACCCCAAAAGCCCAAAACCTTAAACCCAAAACCCTATACCCCACATACCAGTCTTTTTTTGAGGACCCTCGGTGACCTAAGCAGCAAACTCCAAACCAAATCCAAAACCGTAGATCCTCAGGCTGAAATACCCACATTCAGCCCTACATCCCGAAGTCCCTAAACCCTAAAAACCCTAAACCTAAACGGTTTAGGGTTTAGGGCTTAAGGGTGTTAGGGTTTGGAGTTGAGTCCCGAACTCCCTAAACCCTAAAACCCTAAACCTAAGTCCCATCTCCTTAGCCCCAAAACCGACACAGCTGCAGAAAACCCCCGGAAACGGTTCCGAACCCAGGCACCGCACGGCGAAGCTGTCCACGGCCAGCTCGAGCCCGGCCGTGAGGTGCCTTTGCTTTTGGGGGCTTTGGGTTGAGGGTTTTAAGGTTTAGGGTTTAAGGTTTAGGGTTTAAGGTTTAAGGTTGAGGGGGGAATTAGTGGCATGCGTGGTCTTGCTGGACGGAATAGCGTGAACTCTACCTACCTATCTATCTGTCTACCTATCTGTCTATCTATCTACCTATATCTATACCTATCTATATCTATATCTATATCTATCTATATCCATTTATATCTATCTATCTATCTATCTATCTATCTAAACCCTACAACCCCAAACCCCCAAACAGTACCAGCCGGGGCACAGGGTACAGAAGCATGTGGTCGAGTAGCCTCGGTGCGTTTCTTTCTGGAGTCTTATGGAGCAGAGACTGATCCAGTTCTCATGGGAAATGTAAGAGTCATGTTAGTCACGATGCGGGCTGGTAAGTTGAGGCTAGGTTTGAGAGAGAGTCGGAGTAGGGCTTTCCCAAAGGCTGTATCACTCTGTCAACACCCCGAGCACCGGTATACATTCCTCGATAAGGCACATAGTCTAAAATCTAAGCGGTCACAATAATGTTGGTTTGTTGCACATCCCTATGACTTTAGCGTAAAAACTATATCGGTGCCTGATTACTTAGACCGAGGTTTGGGGGGGCTTGCTACCTTTGTATAGACAAGGAGTACGATTACTAATCTACACACTTCTATTGAACCCTAAACCCTAAAACCCAAACCCTAAACCCTAAAACGCAAACCCTAAACCCTACAACGCAAACTCTAAACCCTAAAGTCCAAACCCAAAACCAAAAACCCGAAACCCTATTGAAACAACTTCTCCCCGCCCTCACCCTCACCCTTTCAACTCGTTTCGGGCTCCCGGTTCTGACTCGCAACGCCCAGCGCAGCCCGGCTTGGAGCTACTCAGAGGTTCATGGGACTTCGCAGCTAGAGGAATTATTCGAGTACATAATGTACTCTACTAATTCCTCTAGCTACGAAGTCCCATGACAGTACATATACTCAGACTTACTTATAATTAGAAGGTATAAACCCCAATGAAAGTCCCATGATCCTTCAAGCAGGCTGCAGGGGATATAAAGTTTACCGTTGAGGGTGTAGGGCTTAGGGTTTAGGGTTTTACCGGCCCTACAACCCTGGTGCCCTGTGCAAGTTGAGCTTACTGCGTAGCTCCAGATACCCTAACCCCTCAAAAAACTTGCAAAGTTCAGTGAACTCCAAAAACTCTACACCCTGCGGCTCTAGACACGAAACCCCCAAACCCTAAACGCAAAATCCCGAACCCCCAAACTCTAAACCCCCGAAACCCTAAACCCTGAACCCAAAAGCCCTGAACCCATTATCTGCCGGGGATCATGCCGCCATGACCGTGAAGGCTACCATGGTGGCTCCATCCACCTGAGTGGCGTTGGGGTTTCGTACTTGGGTAAGGCTCTAAATACCTGAATTGGGCTCATAAGTTTAATTATAAGTATATGTGCCGTGCTTATTTCGTGAGGTTCTATTTCTCAGGCTCTAGGATGCAGGACTTCAGCGTTTAGGGCGTAGGTTTACGACTTCAGGGCTTCAGGCGTTTCGGGGGGGTGAGCCTGCCAGTGATGACCGAAATTTGCTTCAGAGGTTTGTGCCCTAAACCCTAAACCCTAAACCCTAGACCGGGTCTTCACTGACATCTACTCAGGAGCCCCTTCTTCCTGGAATCCTCCATACTGGGTCTTGGGTTTAGGGTTTAAGGTTTAGGGTTTAGGGTGCAGGGTTTAGGGTTTAGGGCTGGAATCCTCCATACCCCAGCGCATCGCAGGATCGAGCTTGGATTTTTTGCTGAGGATTGAAACCCTAAACCTTCAAAAACTTGGACTCACTCACTCCGGGTATCTTCTCAACCATGTCTATCAGCTCTCGCACGCGCCTGGGATGCTGATGTAAGGTGTCTTCTTGACATGGTAGATGGTCAGAAAGGCTGGCCAGTAGCAACAAAAAAGGAATCACGCTTTGATGAAGGGCCACATCAGATGTCAATCTGTTCCACCTGAGCCTTGATAAACTTCAGATTATGCCCGGTACAGTCTAAGGATGACACACAAAATCTGCAAGCAATTCGGAATAATCAAGCACCCTGCCCGAGCGGCAAGTGGGTCGCGCACCAGCTTCCCATAGCCCGGGTCGCTCGTGAGGAACAGCGCCGCTGAGCGGCTACCCAGCATCAGCACGAAGAAGCTGCCTGAATGCCAAACCCCTCACCCCAGACCGGTAAAACCCAAAACCCCTGACTCTCAACCCGAAAAACCCCCTTAATCCATATCTAAACCCGAAAGCCCTATACCCCTAGCGCCAAAAGCTTCAAAACTCTTTCTCCAGTTTTGCTTGATCTGCCGACGACGTTGTGACACAAACGACACCGAAGCATAAGCCGTAACCCTAAACCCCAAGCCCAAAGACCCCATAAAGCCCTTTCAAAACCCTGGATGTCACATGACAGTTCCTGAAGCTTTGGTCACCCCTTCTAGAACCATGTCCAAAGAACTGAGAAAAAAATAAATAACCCCACTCCTGCCCGTGAAAAATTCGAGCCGTAGACCTCTCTACACAAACCCTAAGGACCCATGTTTAGGCTATGCAACAGCCCTCCACCCCCAAGCCCCCGGCTGGCCTATCTGCCAAAGCCGCGCTTGCGACAGCTTCGTCCAGTCATCCAGAAAGTCGCAGTCTGCTGCCTTAGCTCTAGTGTGCTTAGGGCTTAGGGTTTAGGGCTGAAGGTTTAGATTTTAGGGCTTAGGGTTTAGGGCTTTGGGTTTAGGGTTTAGGGTTTAGGGTTTAGGGTTTAGGGAAGACTTGTCCGGATAGACGTGGGTGCACCTCAATCAATTTTGTCCTGGTCGTGAAAGTCTTTCATAAATACTCAGGTCATTACGGGTTTAGGGTTTAGGGTTTATAAACAGGTTGACAGTTCTGACGGCATGGTCGATGCCAGAGGATCCATCATGTCAACAAAAAAGCACAAATCAGAGGACCAAGCTTGTGGGGAGAAACTGCGCAACCCAAACCGTCACAGCACATGTTGATGAGCAGCGTAAGATACGAGGCTTTCAGCACCCAGGGCTAGGAAGCCCCGAGAAGAAAAGATGCAAACTCTGAGAGACTATGATCATGCTCTATCTCTCTCTCTCTCTCTCTCGCTCTCTCGCTCTCTCTCAAACTCTAGACCCTAAACCCCAAAAAAAGCCTAAACCCTAAACCCTAAAAAACCCTAAACCCTCAACCTTTAACCCTAAACTCTCTCCTCCAGGGCGCGGGGAATGTACAAGGCTCCCCGGGCCGCGAGGCCCACCCATGCTGCATGGGTATCTTTGGGAGAACCGTGGAACGGGATCCGGAAGTCATAAACAACTGGGATACTTGAGGGTTCAGGGTTTAGGGTTTAGGGTACAATGTTACTTCCAACATAGGCTTTCCCGCACTCCACATCATTGCTGACATCGGCATGCTGTCGCAAAAAGCCCACAGGTGAAGAAGGTTTCCCCGGCGTATTGGCTGCCGTCGGGAATGCCAACACACAAGTGGTTGCGGGTGCATGGGTCTCTCTCTCTCTCTCTCTCTGTCTCTCTCCCTCTATATATATATATATATATCTCTTTCTCTCTCTTTCTCTTTCTCTTTCTCTTCTTCCTTCGGGCTTAAGGGGCGTCTCAAGCCTCCCGGCCCCTAAGGGCCCCCCATTGTTCTCTCTCTCTCTCTCTCCTTTTTTGGTAAAACACATGAAACCCTTACGAATTCCAACCCTTTCTTTGCCTTGAGGCTAGCGGCATACTCATCGAGAACATGCTCGGAAGGTCCCAGCAGTCTCGTGATGTGCGACCTTCAAAAGCGCCAGCCCTTGAGGCTGTGCTGCGATTACTGTGAAGCTCCTGGGGCTTACGTAGGTTTTGGGGTTTAGAAATTCAGGGTTTAGGGTTGAGGGTTTAGAAATAAAGGTTTAGGGTTTAGGGTTTGGGGTTCAGGGCTTGGTACCTCAAAAAGCTCCTTTAACATGATCTATAAAACTTCTATCAGGGGGTTTAAGATACTTAGGGGGTCATGGGGCTTTGTAGCTAAGGCCATTATTGCGCCCTGCAAGAGCCTGTAAGCCCCCTACAGCAACATGCAAAAACTCTAGGATGAATCACAAAACTCGAACCAAAAACCTACGAAAGCGCATCTACTTTTCAGGGCCCACCTCCTCAGGCTCAAGGTGGCCATCAAGGCGCCGAAAAGGTACAGGGCCGTGGTGATCAGCGGCTCGATCTGCGATTTTCAGGGCTCCATTTTTTCGGGTTTTTTGGGCTTGTACGGTTTGGGGTTTAGGGCTCAATTTTTCGGGTTTTTGGAGGGGTTTGTACGGTTTAGGATTCACGGTTTCGGGTCTAAGGTTTAGGGCAGGTTAGGGTTTTGCCGCTTAGGGCATGGGTTTCTTGTGACTAAAGTGAACTTGGCAAGGCATTTGTGACTCTTTTTGAACTGCTACAGGGACCTTACTGCTGCAACTTGCTGGGGCAGGGCAGGGCTTCGGGTCGTGGGCTTTCGGGCTTAGGGGACTTGGGGTTCAGGGTTTAGGGTTTAGGGGTTACGGGTTTAGGGGTTTAGGGGTTTAGGGTTTAGGGGATTTTGGGAATTATGACTGCGACTTCGGGGAAAGAAACCAAAGATCTACTACTGTAGCTGAAAACGACTCTGTTCGTAGCCATTTGCCCTAAACTTAACCTTTACACCCTAGCCATACAAGCCCTTTAACCCCTGCAACCCCTACAATTGTCTAAATTAGGGTCCCTTTGAGGGTCCTTTTTAAAAGGGCCCCGTAGTATATTGGGGACCTAAAAAGGGACCCTAATTTAGAGAACTCCCCAATAGATACCCTAAACCCTAAACCCTAGACCCTAGACCCTAAACCCGTAAACCCCTAATCCCTAAAAGCCCTAAAAGCCCTAAACCCTAAAACCTAAAACCCTAAGCCCTAAAGCTACCAGGTCCTGACGGAGTCTTGGCCGCTTTCGGCCTCGGCCACTGGGCCACGCCAGCTCCCGAGGACGAAGGCCAACGCCGCCAGTCCCAGCATCTCAGGGAGAGGGCGCTGAAGGGTTCAGGGTCGTTGAGGGTTTAGGGTTTGTAGGGCTCTAAGCTTAGGGCTTAGGGTTTAGGGGTTTAGGAGTTTAAGGGAGGCTAAAGGAAACTACAGGTGGGGATTTTGGGGTATATAGGGCTTCAGTAAGGCTTCTTTGAGGTATACAGCATCTCAGGAGAGGGCGTGAAGGGTCTAGGGTTAAAGGGCTTTAGGGTTTAGGGTTCTATGTTTAGGGTTTAGGGTTTGGGGTTTGGGGTTTGTAGGGTTTTTAGGGTTTGTAGGGTTTAGGGTTAGGGTTTAGGGTTGAGGGTTTTGGGCTTAGGGCCTAGGGTTTACCGAAAAGACTTGCGGCGTTTGCTTCGAAGTTTTGGATCTTGCCTGCGGCCCTGCGGCTCCTGGGGTTCGGAGCTTTGGGGCCTGGCGTTCTGCTTTATACCCATAGGCTCCTAAGTAGTTCCTTTTGGGATTACCTTGTAGGATTCTAAATATAAGCCACAAAACGGACCCTAAACCCTAAACCCCAAAACCCCTAAACCCCTAAACCCTAAACCGCTAAACCCCTAAACCCCCCAAGCATTGCATCCCCTTTGGCCTGGAGGAGGAGGATGCATCGCGTCAGCACACGCCAGGCGGCGCCCTCGAAAAAGTCCAGGATTCCAACCTTCGGGGTTTTTAGGGTTTTTAGGGTTTAAGGTGCAGATTACGGTTTAGGGTAGAGTTTAGGGCTTTGGGTTTTGGGTCTAGGGTTTAGGGTTCAAGGTTTGGAGCTTTGGGTTTAGGGTTTAGGGCTCAGGGGTTAAGAATTTCGGGTTTTGGGGTCTAGGATTTTGGGGCTGAAGGTCTTTCCGCTAGGCTTCCGGGGGAAGAAGGTCATGTTCGGGGCTTTGGGGCTTAGGGGGTTCGGGGCTTGGGGTGTTAGGGTCTGGGGTTCCGGGTAGGGTTTGGGGTTTCGCGTTTGGGATTTAGGGTCGAAGGTTTGGGGTTTGGGGTTTGGGATACACCATCTGTCAACCCTACCTGCTCAGCTTCAACCCTCTCTTCCTGTAATCCCTAAACCCTAACCCCTATAAAACCCTAAACCCTATAAAACCCTAAACCCTATAAAACCCTAAACCCTAAACCCTATCCCATTTTCGCCTGCATGAGCGAAGTGTCCCGGAGCCGATGCTTTGCAAAGGCACGAAGGTGAACCCG